GGTCGATTCAATGGATTTGCATCTAAACATCTTTTAATTAAATGCACAATTAATTGAGGTACATTAATATTAAACCTTGGTCTAAGTCCCTGGCAAATTTTTATTGCTAAATTTTCATCATGGCCTATATTATAATATGGAGGTAATCCGGAAATTAATTCATACATAATTATACCAAAACTATAAATATCTGCGGCTTTGGTATAATTTTGACCTTGTAAAATTTCAGGAGCAATATAAGGTAAAACACCGTATACACTATTTTTTGTACTTTCTGATTCACTGTAATCTGCAGGTTTACATAATCTCATATCAGTAATACAAACACTACCTCTATGTAATATGTTGCCAACATGTAGATCCCGATGAATTAATTTATGAAAATGAATATGATTAAGTCCAAATGCAATATCATATAAATAATCAATCTTATTTTTCCAATTTATTATATTATAATTCATGTCTAAATATTTTCGTAAACTTCCATTTTCTGCATAATCCAAAATCATTATATAATTTTGTGTTTTTGGATCCTGAGATATTCCATAAAGTTTAATAATACTAGCATAATTATTTATTTTATGATGTTGTGTAATCTATAATATACAAAGAAGATGCATCAACAAAAATAAATATATTAAAATTTCATCATCATTAAAATAAATAAATTTATACCTCATTCATAAATTCTAATGTAATATTTCTTGAACTATCTAAACTTTTTAAAGCCACAAATTTATTTGGATATTCTCTTTTCCAATTTAATCTTTCATCATCCCATTTACTTATATGTCCATCAATCCAATTTGCTTTATATATTTTTCCAAACCCTCCTTTTGCAATATATTTAGTATTATTAAGTTTATTATAAGGTATCCATTCTAATGCTCTCTTTATATCATTATGAGCTGATAATTGAGTATTTTGAATAAATTTATCAATGTCGTCATTACCACTAGTCCAATTTTTAAAATTTTGTTGAAAATATATTGCATTACATGGATAATCACATTTTATGCATTATATATATGAGCTGATAGCTGAGTATCTTGTATATATTTATCAATATCATCATTACTACTAGTCCAATTTTCAAAATTTTGCTTAAAGAGTATTGCTATTGCATTGCACACATTATTACATTTTTTGCATTTATTAATCAAAACCATCATATAATTTTCTGTTAATGGATCTTGAGTAATTCCATAAAATTTATAATTACTTTTAATCTACAAATATAACAAATTAGTAAAAAAATAATAAAAATTAACCCTAAAAATTCATTAAATATACCTCATTCATAAATTCTAATGTAATATTTTTTGGATTATTTAAACTTTTCAATTCTACCAGCATGTTTTTATTAAATCTTATCCAATTTCGATTTTTACTATCCCATTCACTAATATATCCATCAATCCAATTTGCTCTGTATATTCCAATTTTTTCAAAATATTTAATATTATGAAATCTATCATAAGGTATCCATTCTAATGCTTTTTGTGTATCACCATGAGCCAATAACTGGGTACTTTGAATAAATTTATCAATTTCAACACTACCACTAGTCCAACTTTCAAAATTTTGTTTAAAATATTTTACATAACAACTTACAGAACTACATTCTTTACACTTATCAATCAAAAATAGCTGAAAAAAATTCGTAAGACTCATTTACAATTTAATAAAATTTGGTGAAATGAAGATTAATAGAATAAAATAATTAGGAATATAATTTGTGTGAAATGTATTTTACGGGAGAAACAGAAAAAAAAAAAGAATTTTAGCGTGAGGCCATTATATAGATAATACGTAATAATCAAGTGACTTAGTGTATTGCATAATTGGATATATCAATTTTGCCGATCTAACCATCTCCATATACTGTCCGTCATGTGATCTTAGGCCAATGAAATCGGAAATTTAAGTTTTATTTTTTTTGCTCACTTATAACGTTCCATTTTCCAGTAATATTATTACTTGGATTTTGCTACTTAAATTCCCAAAACTCACAAAAAGCTCTAATACTATTAAGACTAATTAAAACTGGAAAAGTAATACATCATTAATATATTGTAAATTAAAGTCGCGTAACTTGACTCAAATTATTATTGACCCCCTAAAAAGCTCTATTGCACTTTGTCTTTGTGTAATAATAAATGGGGTCATACTGAAAAAAAATAAGCAAATATTGAAATGACTTAACCCTTTCTTAAGCAAAAATTTTGGTAACACGTGCTTACTTTGTAAGCCTGTGAGTACCAGCTATATGTAACCCAAACTATGATTCATTAATTATACAATTTCGCACCCTAACCGCAAGTAGATCACAGCATCACACAAAGCCACATTGTACAACCAAAAATTTCGTAATTATATAAATATCCGGAATTGTGTGAAACTGATAATAAAAATTTTTCAATATACTTTTATATTTGTATGTTTTGAGTCATTTTTTTGTATATTTATTCACATACTTGTATATATTATCTAAGTCAACTAAGAGTTTATTTATTATCTATTTGCTATATTTATCAGTCACAGCACGCCGATAGTCATAGAATCTATTTATTGGTCACAGTCACTTCATCATAAAAATGTATAGTCGAAATAGTCGAACAAATGGTTTGGCAAAAAATGACCCGATAAACAGTAATCAGCCAAAAAGATGACTAATATTAAAAGTCATATACAGTAATAATGTACAATATGCCATAATGATTCAAATTTACATGACACATATATATATATGATGCATCTGTACCAATTTCTCTAAACTCTCTTTCTTCAAATAATGTCTCAAAGGCTCATACTTGACATTTACAGATACATAATGCTAAACTATTTTATTTTGGGTAGATCCATTAACATTTGAACAGTCCCTCTCTAAATGGCAGAGAGAACTACTTACAAAAGAACATAATATAAATGCTTAGCAGAAAGATTTTCTTAAAAGAGAACATGAAATAAGTGAGAGAGAATTGGAGTTACCAGTGCCTCCTACACATGTGATATCAACGATAAAAAAAATAAGGATGTTGTTACTTTTTCACACTTCAAGGATGCAATCAAAGAAAAAATCCAAAATGCCAAACTTGATGATTGTTGGAATAAGTTGGGAAGAATCGACAGAACAATGCAGAAAAATTCCATCAATTTTGATAGTAGATGAGGCTCATCTAATTTACGGGAAGGATAAAGAAGCCTCTCTTTCTTCAAATAATGTCTCAAAGGCTCATACTTGACATTTACAGATACATAATGCTAAACTATTTTATTTTGGGTAGATCCATTAACATTTGAACAGTCCCTCTCTAAATGGCAGAGAGAACTACTTACAAAAGAACATAATATAAATGCTTAGCAGAAAGATTTTCTTAAAAGAGAACATGAAATAAGTGAGAGAGAATTGGAGTTACCAGTGCCTCCTACACATGTGATATCAACGATAAAAAAAATAAGGATGTTGTTACTTTTTCACACTTCAAGGATGCAATCAAAGAAAAAATCCAAAATGCCAAACTTGATGATTGTTGGAATAAGTTGGGAAGAATCGACAGAACAATGCAGAAAAATTCCATCAATTTTGATAGTAGATGAGGCTCATCTAATTTACGGGAAGGATAAAGAAGCCTCTCTTTCTTCAAATAATGTCTCAAAGGCTCATACTTGACATTTACAGATACATAATGCTAAACTATTTTATTTTGGGTAGATCCATTAACATTTGAACAGTCCCTCTCTAAATGGCAGAGAGAACTACTTACAAAAGAACATAATATAAATGCTTAGCAGAAAGATTTTCTTAAAAGAGAACATGAAATAAGTGAGAGAGAATTGGAGTTACCAGTGCCTCCTACACATGTGATATCAACGATAAAAAAAATAAGGATGTTGTTACTTTTTCACACTTCAAGGATGCAATCAAAGAAAAAATCCAAAATGCCAAACTTGATGATTGTTGGAATAAGTTGGGAAGAATCGACAGAACAATGCAGAAAAATTCCATCAATTTTGATAGTAGATGAGGCTCATCTAATTTACGGGAAGGATAAAGAAGCCTCTCTTTCTTCAAATAATGTCTCAAAGGCTCATACTTGACATTTACAGATACATAATGCTAAACTATTTTATTTTGGGTAGATCCATTAACATTTGAACAGTCCCTCTCTAAATGGCAGAGAGAACTACTTACAAAAGAACATAATATAAATGCTTAGCAGAAAGATTTTCTTAAAAGAGAACATGAAATAAGTGAGAGAGAATTGGAGTTACCAGTGCCTCCTACACATGTGATATCAACGATAAAAAAAATAAGGATGTTGTTACTTTTTCACACTTCAAGGATGCAATCAAAGAAAAAATCCAAAATGCCAAACTTGATGATTGTTGGAATAAGTTGGGAAGAATCGACAGAACAATGCAGAAAAATTCCATCAATTTTGATAGTAGATGAGGCTCATCTAATTTACGGGAAGGATAAAGAAGCCTCTCTTTCTTCAAATAATGTCTCAAAGGCTCATACTTGACATTTACAGATACATAATGCTAAACTATTTTATTTTGGGTAGATCCATTAACATTTGAACAGTCCCTCTCTAAATGGCAGAGAGAACTACTTACAAAAGAACATAATATAAATGCTTAGCAGAAAGATTTTCTTAAAAGAGAACATGAAATAAGTGAGAGAGAATTGGAGTTACCAGTGCCTCCTACACATGTGATATCAACGATAAAAAAAATAAGGATGTTGTTACTTTTTCACACTTCAAGGATGCAATCAAAGAAAAAATCCAAAATGCCAAACTTGATGATTGTTGGAATAAGTTGGGAAGAATCGACAGAACAATAATGCAGAAAAATTCCATCAATTTTGATAGTAGATGAGGCTCATCTGATTTACGGGAAGGATAAAGAAGCTAGTAATAAAGAATCTGCAGATAAAGAATCTGCAGATCAATTCTGGGCAACTGTTAACCTTCAAAAAGTATCATCTATAAATATTATAATATTTGTGGCCTATGGATATAGAAGTTCTAACTAGGTTCAAATCTGTCCTTGTGCCCTTTCATATCTTCATCATCTCTCAAAAGTTATATTGCCCAGTCTAACTTGTCCACATAGAAATCTATCTTTCCTTCACATCCAAAAACTGAACCTACTTCAGGTGACAAAAAATGATTCCTTCTCAATACCTGTGTACCGATTCTATAAAATTCCTTCTGCCATGTTTGTTCCAGGATTCTTCCTTCAGATCCAAATCCAAGTGTTTCTCTTAAAATGTTCACACTTAGTTTATTACACATTGCTGTGAAAATCTTCACAATAAATTGATACAAATCTGTGGGAATAATATTGCTACTACGGCTAACTCCATAATTTTGCTGAAAAAATGCCCACTTAAGAAGGGGTGTTGCAAAAGTTAAATAACTATTATCCTCCACAACCATAAGGACTCCAGTTTTAACTAGGTAATTTGACAGGAGTCGCGAGTCCTGCATGGAGGAAAATTTAAAGAGATTTTTAAATATGCAAAGAGTATAGCTATTATTGATATTCGCGTTGATACTCACAATGAAGCAAAAAAAGTTTAGGAAATGAAGGCGGATTTCATATACGTGTCATACTCCAAAGATTTTGGTGCATTTAAAATAAAGAGTTTGGGTAAAGAAACTTTATTTATTAGGTCTCAAGATTAATTTATTCTTCAATCAGACAAAGTAATACATGTTGTTTCTTTTTTGAGCAAAATGTAAAATAATAATAAAAATCTTGACGCTTCCTCGTTATAAATTTTACCATCATGGGAGAATTTATCTGTTATATTGAATAAAGAAACATGATATTTTTATATTTATACTTTTTTTAAAAAAAAAGAAATAAAAATGGATAAATAAGTAGATAGTTGAATGACTAAACCTACTAGCTCTACGCAGTATATTCCTCTGTGTAATCCGGCCAAGTATATACACATATACGATAGGGCAACAGGTTTTATTACGGTCAAGAATATAGCTTCTCTGGAGCACCTTCGGGGTAAGACAAGATAGAGTAATAGCGTGTTTGATTACCCCGAACTTTGTGGGATTTCGATGCTAGAGGTCCGGAATGTCGATCAACAGCTCAGAGGATTTAGATAGATCAATTAGTTATAGGGCTATCGATAATTTATTATCAGTACCTCAGGTATTTTATAAAAATTATGTATCTTCAGATACTAAACAATTGATAAAATGCGCTACTAATTTTTTTTTTTTAAAAAAAAAAGTACATATAGAAGATTGGGTATGGATTTGCGAAGATAATGAATATACTACAGAATTGGATATAATAATTAAAACAATGATAGAGTTAGCAGGGAAAAAGAGAAATTTAAATTCTAATGACTATTAATAGTGAGTTCGAAAGGATTTGCTCAAGAACTGTCTGTAATACTAGTTGAAAACAATAATAAGAAATCATGTGAAATTACGTGGTTTGTTTAATAGAAAATTTGAAAAGGCAACGCAACAGGTTACTGGTTACAGCTACTAGTATATTGCTATAATTAATATATTCATAATAATTTATTTCTCATCGAATTTTATTCCAACTTACAAAGAAAGGCAAATTCTTCCATTTCAGTTATGCTTCTTTAGTCCAATTGACCCACCCCTCTGAATAATGAATATGTAATAGTTCTAAAATTCATGAAATGTGGAACCAATTGTCTTTTCAACAGTTGTCATACTACTACTGAATCTGAAAATAGTTACATTGCAATTTGTAAATGATCACAAGAACATTATTCAAATATTGAAGATCTTTAATAATAAGAATGTGTGTACGTAGTTTTAGTTCATTTATAAAATTTCCCAGTGAAATACTAACGCTAATGCTTGGCTGCGAGAAGATAGTAAGGTAGCATCGTTACGAGGAAATATTTATATTAGTATCGTTACCAAAAAAAATATTATAATCATTGCCTCACATTTTCCCTGTATATTCGGCTGTAAACGGTATCCATAGGAAAATATATTTGCTAGTCGCATACCTGGATAGTGACATGGGCTGGTATTGTTTGCATATTATAGTACTTGGTATAGTAGTTTCGTATACAAAAAGAAATAGCAGGATTCTAGTAGCTTCACTTTAAAGTTCCTTCGGAATAGCTAGTTTCACTGCTGAAACAAGGTATGCCCAAATTCTTTGCGAGACAGGTGTACATTCAACGCTTAGTGAATATTAGTGAATATGAGACGGTATTTGAACCAAATATCTGAAGGGTATCCTTCGGAATGTAATTTGTTGCGGAAGTTTGCTATTTATGAACGTGAGTAAAAATGATGGTTATGGATTTTTAGCCATTGCTTGTTGTCACATTATAATTTCAACTTCTATCAATAGTAAGTTAAGTACATTATAATAATTTTTATAGTATTTACATTTTTTTATTATATGAAATACGAATCATTTATCAATTAGTAATATACAGTACCTACATACTATCATATATATAAGTAGATTGCGTTGATAATCTTCCCAAACCAAAATATTCTGATGATTATCATGTCATGAACAAGATAATTAATATAATAAGCAAGGAATATTCTGGTATTAATTAATAATTAGTTGAATACGCAAAAATATTTGAAATTAGAATCTTTACAAATTAATATTATTGATTATTGATTTTCATATTTCCCATGATTCTCAAGAAATTGATGCTTTTAAGTCGATTAATCAAATTGGCTGAATTTGAGAACAGAAAAATTTAAAATAAAATAATTTTTGATTTCGTCGAAGATTATCATTAAAAGGAAAGGTTTTAAAGTGACATTAATTAGAATTTTGAGTCGTAACCGGCTTATGTTGCTATTTATTTACTACATACATTAAATAAGCAAATTTGAAATATTTAAAAATTTATAATTGAATTATAGAGATAAAAATAATGATATAATAAGCGAAGAATATTCTGATATTAATTAAATATTCAAAAATGTAATTTACTACTAACAAAGCTTTAACTGAATTTATTAAATATAATCTTTACAAATTAATATTCTAAAAATTATAGAAATTACCAACTATACCGTACCGAAAAAGAATAATTTAACAAATTACTGATAATAATATAGGCCTTACTATAAAATCAATTCTGACACTTGAATTCAATTTTGCCGTGTTTTCATAATAACTCGTTATTGCACTACTAATCACTTTATGTTTATGAATTTATTTAATAATTTATCTGTGAGAATCATTATTTATTATTATTCCTTTTTTCCTAATGTGCGAGTTCATAGTATTATATAATAAACAATGGTTAGATGACAAGAACATTATCACTTGCTGCAGTACTGGAATTCATCTTAGATTCTCTTTGATGATATATTCATGCCTGTAATTTTTCTGATGATATTTTTCATGCTCACGTGTTTTTATAGTTTATTTATACCTTTCCCATCACTGGACGTTAGTCTCCATGAGTCCAAAAGATAAAAGAGTTATTTCACGTGTCGCATAAATATTATGATTTTCACGGCGCAGCCGTGAAAATCATGAAATAACTATTTCTTATTTATTTAAATGATACATACCATAAACAATTACAGTTAAAATAAGTATAACCATTCTGTTCGATTCATAATCATCAAAAATTCAAAATATTGATTAAGTTCTTGATTTTAACTCGAACAGTTTAGAATATCAAGGTTGGCACTATGAAAGGTTAAACCTATAGGTGCCGTCGGAATTGCCAAATTCATCACTTTTACCATTTAAATATTTAACAAACATCGATGCCAGCGTTATAGATTTACGGATTACAAATTATCTACGGCATAACCAGAAAAAAAATATTTACTTACTTTGTGTAATTTTTGTATTTTTGACATTAAATAATTACGGCATTGCGGCGATTTAATATATTCCCTATAAAAAAAGAAAATTCGGAATTTGTCCTGAAAAGTATGGAAAATGTCCAGAAATTTTCCGTGCGTCCGGAAAACATTCGGAAACGGTCACGTTTTGGAACACTTTCCGGACGCACAAATTCCAGACATTTTCTTGACACTCCAGAATTTGTCCAGAATTTGTCCAGAATCGAGCGTCCGGAAAGTGTTCCAAAACGTGACCGTTTCCGAATGTTTTCCGGACGCACGGAAAATTTCCGGACATTTTCCATACTTTTCAGGACAAATTCCGAATTTTCTTTTTTTATAGGGATTACGGTACAAGCTTAATATGCCGTACTAATTAATTCCGACGGAAAGTATAGTTAAACCGCTGGGTCGTTTATCCAGTGATGGGTGGTTGGATGGTTGTGCGATAGTGTGATCATACTTCACATTGAGATATTGCGCTATCTAATCGGGAATTGAAGGAACATCTTTTCGCCTCCAGTTTTTCTTTTATATCAAATCAAACATCAGTAAATATTCTTTAAGGTTTGTCCGAATATGCGGATTTTTAGATGTGCGTGTAAAGCTGCAAAATTTAAAGTTCTCCTTTTCTTTTTTCAAGATTAACTACAATCTTGAGGTGATTATGTAGCTACCACCTATTGCTCTTTCGTATTTGTAAAATTCTACATATATCATTTCTATGCGTAACAAGTAACAACACTCATCCGGATCCATTATTCATAAATGTATCTATGTCCGTATCTCTTTCTCCGGCAGGCTTATCTAGAAAATCGTTTATTGAATGTTCCGAGAGTAAAACTTGTATTCCTGCTTCGTGATACACATCTGTATATGGTCCTCCATTGATCATCTTTTTTTTTCGGTAAGCAAGAAGGTAACTAATCTCGACTTTTAACTGTCTATCTTTTCACCTAAATTCTGTTTGTATTACTTCTCTGATTTTTTTCACGGGATTCTATTACCTGAATCATATATAATCATCTGCATTATTGGCTTGTTAAATTCATAATATTTGTTACATTTATCCCTGGTTGTTCTACCTTCTACCTTGGGATTTACAAGGACCTACTTTTCCATATATCTTTTGTTCACATTTTCCCGTTAATATTCTCACGTCTTTATATCTTTTATTATTGATGGTTCATTATAAATGATTAATGGTTCTACGTTTGGAATTAATGTTCTGTTATGTTCTCTTGGTGAGAGTTCAATATATTCATATTACATAATAATAAAGAAAATTATGGACAGTAATTCTATAATTCTATTTGCGCAGGAACCCTATAAAAATAATTCCGGAAAAAATTCCGATAAATGATCATTTTTCTAGTTTTTATTCCGAAGAAACTCAGGCACGTGATCATTTTTCCAAAAAATTTTTTTATAGGGGAAACGATTATGTTCGGAAAAATAATTTTAGAAATCAAATTGTTTATAAAAGATTAATTAAAATAATTAATTTTATTATTACATTGTTATTACATAATTAGTATAATTAGTACAATTTGTATAAAAAGGAAGTTTTCACAAAGAAAAATTTTTCATTGATCAATTCCATCAGGCAAGACCAATGCAAAAAGCCATCTTACCGGTCGATGATGAACCGGAAGCAAAAAAAAACCGCACGATCAAGAACAATCATTCTATTAACATTAACTTAGTTTGTAAATAAAATTTTGATAGTTTTCCGTTAAAAAAATGTTAATGATGCAATAAACGTAACAGGCGTAGCACTGTAACCAGTCTGTAACCTCGAAAATTCAGAAACCCAGATAATCAAGTCTCTTAAAAAATTAATCCGACTGTAAAACTTTCGTGTGAAAATTCGTTTTTTATACAGCGTATTTCGAATTTTGAATTTGATGGTTATTTATATTCGTGCGAAAACATTGTAAAATATATTACAACGCGGTTCGATTTTACTCACTCTGGATATCACGTAAAGTATTAAAAAATGCAAAGATGTGCCTTGTCCTTCCTTTTCAGCATGTTTATAAGTTATCAATTATTGTGACATAGTGGTGAGGGGATCACTTTTCGAATTCAAAATACTTTGCGTAAGGAACATTTGCAAATGAACTGCTTTGTATAAGACTTCCAATAATACTAGTCAAGGTACGAATATATCTTAAGTAATTGTTTCTCCAAGTACGAAAAGTTTCTGACACGCACTCTGCACAAATATAAATAGTACTAACTAGTGTAACTAGTATGTGTAAAAAGTTCCTCAGTCAAAAAAATTTAATGTGTCACAGGAAATCCGTAATGTTGCGAAATCACTATTAAGAGAAAGAGTGGTAAGTATGATAAAGCGATAAGTCTATAGTTCATTAGTTCCAACTATCCAAATGTAGTTGTGCATTATTATTATTATTATTATTATTATTATTATTATTGAGAAGAATGCCGAATTTTATTAAATGAAAAATACTTTCAAATAATTTTTATTTCAGTCTAATTTTATTTGTAGGAACTACAATTTATATCTCATTCTAAAAAATTAGACTGTGAAAAAAATATTAAAATCTCGTTTAAACGCTAGTTAATAATAATATTAATTTTGTTTTCAATATTGCATCAATCAATTATCGAAATTTTTTTCCACCTATTTATCAGGTAAGAGTAAAGTTATAACATTGGAAGATTTTATGACGCTTGAAATACATAATGTTTATAAATCTGGCATTCTGACTACGACAATTATTAGTTCGTTATATCATATCATACCTTTGGATTTATAAATTTAAGGCGCAGATTAAATACCACTTCCAAAGAGCGTAATTTTTTTTTTTTTTTATTTGCTTAAATAAATCGGATACAATAAAGTATCATGATAGGTAGTATATTCAAATTACTTGTTGAAATTTTTTTTTAAGGACGATGGGTTGACCAAATGAAAAATTGAGGACTCTGAAAAAAAGTATAACGGAAAACTATTTTTCATTGTAGAAAAATAACTTCCGGAAAATTATGTCCTATTATGCTAACATTATGACAACGCAATACCTGCAGATACATTGTTTATTTATTCGTCTGTGATCAATCAAAGTTAAATTCCTTAACATATGTGGTCACGAGCCTGTTCCATCACGGGATCGTCAGCAAATAAAATTGGTTTATCTTTTTTTTGCTCCAGACTCAACGGATTTCGTTTCCCAGTATAATCATTCATTAAATAAATATAATTATTTATATCTAAAAAATGTTATCTTTCATTTATTGAGAAATGACAATTTAAGCACATTGAACCTGGAAAGTTTAAAATCTTTTATATGGACTTTATAAGAAGCAGATTTCTTTATTGATGCATAATCTGCAACTTTTAAGTATTAAAATTATTGTATCTCTTTTTCTCAAATGGAAAATTGACTAATTTTTTTTACATTGAAGATGAATGATCTGATAACTTGATGAACAATAGGTTATACTTAACTACTGTTGGTGATTTTTATTTTGAATAGGCTATTATCATGTCGATAGTTAAATTCAACTAAAACTAAACTAGTAGTGAAACCGCTAGTTAAAATTGTCAGTCATGTGGTGTAAATATTACCGCCGAATATGGAAAACGTTAAAAAACAACTAAACTAAAATCGGAAAGTCCGTATGGTTAATAAAATAAAGTTCTGACAAATTACTTTTTTTGGAAAATTTGTAACTAACGAAATAGGGGGTTTGTATCGGATCATTGTTATATTAGGAAATGCAAATATTTTACGATGGACAGCTATATAAATAAATGTTCTCCTTTTAAAAAAAAAAAAAAAAAAANATATATATATATATATATACAAATAACTGATAAAAATTAAAAATATATAATAAAATTTATTCATTCGATAATTTTAATATGATTTCAAATTCCGATTCATCATATTCTAAAGTCGAATCATCACCTTATACTCCCGTTGTAATTAACGTTGAAAATGGTGAAGTGGTTCATCAGGTTAGAACAATATATGTTTTTATATAAATTGATTCATCATAAACTATTATTGATGAGATAATATTTTTCTATTTATGTAACTTAGCGTATTTTATTAATTTATGGGCGTGCGGGTCCACAAGATATGAACTTTGAATCAAAGATTACAGTTGAACATCATGTAAATAATTTTCCATCAACAACTTGGCAAGTTTTTAATTCTCATTTCAAATGTTTAGTACATTTAGATGCAGGTTTAAATAATATTAAATTTATTCTTGATACATCACCATTTTCTTCTGATTCAAGACCATTAACAACAATATTTCAAGTAAATTATGTTCCATTATTACAAAATCCTCCATTAAATTTAGCAATTCTTGTAGCAAAAGATTCAAAAGAAATTATTGATGCTCCTGAAGAAAAAGAAAATTCCGGTGAAAATAAATTGGAAAGTGTTAAAGCAAAACTTCGTTGTGCAGGATATTTATGGCAAGCATTTACTGCAGAACAAATGAGTCGCAATGGATTTGGAAGAAGAGTTTTTAGATTAGATGAAGAATGGACGGAAGATACGATTTCAAATCAAAATCCTGGATTAAGACAAACGGCAAAAATTCATATAATTCGTAGTTCATACACGTTAAAACAAATTTTAGATCCAGATATAGCGCAACAAAATCCTAATGGAGTTGATGATAAAAAAAAAGATTTATATTCTATATTCATGGACAGTTTAAAAGAATATGGTGCTCCATTCGATAAACAATGTTACGTTGCAGGATTAATTTTGGATTCTCATTATGATACTTCACCTAACATGGGATTCATTAGAGGTCATGCCGCATTAGGAGGTGGTTGGGATAACATTCGACTAGGAATTTTTGGTAGTCATTTGACACATGCTTGGCCAAGATACCTTGAAGAAGTTGTTAGTTGTTTTCAAGATAATACCATCACAGATGAGAACAGATTGTCTAATGATGCAGGAGAAAGTGGAACATGGTGGAGATGTTGTAATATTGGAATTGGTGCATTTTTACATGAAGTCGGTCATTGTTTGACCGCACCTCATTCTCCAAGTGGAATTATGTCAAGAGGGTTTAATAATTTAAATCGTACATTTACGGTTAAAGAACCAAATAATCCTTTTCCAACGACACCATCTGAAGAAGAAGGTGCACATTGGTATAGAAGTAATGTTATAAGATTTAGATATCATCCATGTTTCCGTTTGCCTTTTGAACCACCAGCAAAAATTGATCTTAAAAATATTGGAGCAGATTTTTGGATTTTAAATAAATTTTTATTAATTAAATGTTCCGCGGGAATTTCATTAATTGAAATTTATGTTAGAAATAATATTATTGGTTATTTAGATTATTCTGATGAATATAATCAAACTGAAATTCGATTAAAGGTAGATGAAATTATTAAAAAATATGGTGGGAAATATAATATTATTAAAATGAATTTCGTAGCAAAGAATCAAACTGAAACTTTTTTACAAAATTTACAAAAATTTTCGGAAGAAAGTAAAATTATATTACCAATATATGGAAAAGTATTTAAATCTAATTATTTGGGAAAACTTGATGAAAGTTTAACTGAATTTAAAATTTTATTTAAAAAATTTATTGATACTAAACCTATTACATTAAAAAGAATGATTATTAAATATGATGTTTTTATCAATTCGATTACATTTTATTGGTCTGATAATACCAACTTACGTATTGGTATAGATGATGATGAAGGTATTAAAAAAGAATTTTTATTTGAAGAAGGAGAAAAAATTGTTAAAATTAAAGTTAATTCTGGTTGGTATATTGATGGATTTGAAATCAAAACTAATTTAGGTAGACGTAGTAAATGGTTTGGTGGTCATGGTGGTAGTAAGCATACATTAGAAGCACCTGATAATGAATATGAAATGATCGGTCTTTATGGTACTGGCAATTATTTTGTTAATACTTTAGGAATTATTTATAAAAAAATTTCGTAAATTGAATAATTTTATGTATTTAATAATATTCGTCGGGTATTTCACGTTATTAAAAATATCGGGTATTATGGCCAAATTCAATCTTTTTACGATTTATATTCATTAACCAATGTATAATTTTTATCATATAAATAAAAAACACTTCAGTGTATCAAAAAAAAATAAATTACATTTTTTTCCAAAAAAGAGAAAATTCGGTCATCGATAAAGTTATTTAAAAGCCAAAACATACTGGACTGATTTTTTGGAATGCTACGCACCTGATAGCTGCACCCTCGTTTGCCATAGACCGGTCTAGGCCTTTCCTTTTTGGTATAAAGATATATGTAACTCACTGGATAAATATATGTCCTTTGGTCATTCCAAAAATGATTTATGGTTAGCGTGATTGAAAATCGTGTGTACAAGTGTGTCATCCTAATGGCCATATTCGGATACATTTGGTTGCCTTTTTGAAACAATACTTGCATCGGAAAAACTCATTCTGCGCCAATAACGATTTCTATTTAATCGCTGCTTCTAAATTTCTGATTAATTACCACTTCTCTTTTGTGAATAATTTTTTCCACATTCGAATAACCATGGCAGACGCTATGTAAGGAATATGCATAATCTGTTACCGGAAATTCTTATTTCTTAATACTTACCTATTTTCACTCTTTAGACCTAAACCTCCACCGTTGCAAATCAATGCACCAGTCATACTCTTAGTTGGAAAAACGGGTATGCCTTGATATCGTATCTTTATTTTCGGTCATTTCTTTTTTTTTCATTGTACATTTGTTTGTAAGGCGCTGGTAAAAGCACTTTGGGAAATTTATTGTTGAAAACCTCTGAAGATGAAAACCCAACTTTCCATGTTTCCGACAGCTTTGTAAGTAAAAAATATATGTATATAAATAGGGTATTTGTAACTATATTGGTTTTTAACTCTCGAAATTGATTAGTCATCCGTTACTAAAGAATCTAGTTCTGCGAGTTACGAAATTGGGGACGAAGTTTACAATATTATCGACACGCCAGGGATTTTTGACACTGACGATCCCACCGAAGATATCTTAGAAGAAATCGCTCGCACCATCCAAAAGTGCGCTTATGGAGTCAGAGCCATATTATTTGTATTTGGTGAGTGAGAATACTGATAATTAAGTTTATGATGAGACTAAATTAGAAACATTGTTAAAATGCTGTTTACAGAAGCCAAACGATTCACGAATGAACAAAAGAATACGCTCAATGGAATAACAATGTTTCTTGGAGAAGAGTCTATCCAATACATGATTTCTGTCTTTTCACATTGTAACAAAAAGCAGACTAAGGATCCAGAATATTTTAAAAATTCTTGCTGGAATGATCCAGTTAAGGATTTTGTCGATTCCATGAATAATCGGTGGGCTATTTCTCCGAATGCAGATGACTTTCCTCCCGATAATCTTGTGCATAAACAACGCCTCAAAGAATTGAAAAAACATATCAACTATAATATAAATGGAGTGTATACAAATAACCTTTTCGAAAAGGCTCGGAAAAAGCAAGAAGAAAATGAAAGAAAAGAGAGAGAAGCAGAAGAGGAACGAAAAAAAGAATATGAAAAAAATTTAATGAGTAAAGGTGAAGCCCTTGCAAAAAAGTACTACGAGGAACAGAGGAAAAAAGATGAAGAAAAATTTCTTGAAGAAAAAGAAAAGGAAATTACGAGTATTAAAAACGAATTTCAAGGTGTAATAGATACGCTAAAGGGGGGAACCGGGGGATATTGCCAAATAGTATAACACTACCAGCTTATTTAGAATTTTACATAATAATGATATCTAAGTTTTAGTTTTTATGTGAATTCTAAAAAAAATGAAAGAATTAATCTTAAAAAACAGTACTTTCAAATTTTACATTATAAAACATTTTAATTTTATATTGTTTGAAAGCTATTTGGAGAATATATATATGTGAATTTTTATGGGTTTATCCTTTTTTAGAACATTAGTTATCGAAAAAATAAAATATTGTCCAAAAATTTTTGTCAGAAATTTTAATTACTATGTATAAATTTTAGAAGCATGAAAATTCGACTCTATATTATTTAGAATCTATGTTATTGCATAATAAAATTTCAATATTACATTTTGAGTAATTAACAAAGATAAAGTCTGTACTTTTGTCCAGGTAGTTGTCATTGCAAAGGCGAACTACGAAAGGCAGGGGCAGAAGATGAAATAATAGCAAGTGAAAAACGTAATAAGGACCTTGAGAATATTACAATCAATCAACGTCTGATCAAAAAATAAAATCTAACTGAAAAATCAAAAACAATAGTTGTTTCTGGCTCGAAATACAAGCTAAGCTAGAATCATTAAAATGTCAGAGCTTCAAATAGTGTTATAAACATCAGAAATGATATTGCAGAATTCCCAGAAGTGCCTTATCGCTCATATTGGTAAATTAGATCATGAAGCGAAGTTTGCTAAAGTCAGCTTCACCAGGCCGGATGTTTCTAAAGTCATTTCATTTTGAATTAACTGTATTAACTGTTGGTTTAACCGTTACCGCAGTATGCACGTGACTTCGTTTAACCTATAAATTTGCATGAATATATTTCAGTGGATTATCAGATAAATGTTTACGTCTCAGAGAGTCATTTAATATTAAAATTGTCATAATGTAGAAAAATTCTTTAACCACCTATTTATTATCGTTATAATAATAAAATTTAAGCCATAAAAAAAAAAAAATTGTGACACAAAACGTAGTATGATTTTGTGTGTGACTTATTGTCATACAATTTTCAATTTTTTTGCCATTCGTTATAATTTGTGCGACATTTTCAAATACTTTTATGGCTGTTGTACTCTTATTCTATTTTAATGGATACAATTAATAGCCTTTTAAGAATTACAGTTTAGAACAATATTTACTCTCAAACGAATGTACAATCCTTCGAACATTTTGTGTAACAACGATTTCTTATTTAAAAACCTGCTTCTACTTCCGATTAATACTTCTTTTCATCATTGTTGGTGAATCAACGATATATTTTCAGCTCGAAACAATAACCATGATATTAAGTCCTCCGTTAGTTATCAACGCACCGGTAATACTCTTAGTTGGAAAAACGGGTATGCACTAACATAATGTCTTTCTTTCAGTCATTTCTTTTTTTTTTTTAATTGAAAGTAAATTATACATTTATTGTAAGGCGCCGGTAAAAGCACATTAGGAAATTTAATGTTAAGAACGTCTGAAAATGAAAATCCTACCTTTTTTGTTTCCGATAGCTTTGTAAATATAAAATATATATATTCATGACATTAATATACTGTAATGTTAGTTACTGCATATTCATTTATATTTATTTTCTAACTTCTCAAATCTTCCGAAATTGAATGACTAGTTATCTGCCACCAAAAACTCTTGTTCCGCGAATTATAAAATTAATGAAGAAACATACAACATTGTCGACACTCCAGGGGTTTTTGATACTGAAGATCTCGACACAGTTATCTTGGAAGAAATCGCTCGCACTATCCAAAAGTGTGCCTATGGAGTCAAGGCCATATTATTCGTGGTTGGTCAGTAGAAGTATAGTTGACTATTTTCACGGTAGAACTTAAATTAAATGCATGTATAAAATTATAGAAGCAAAACGGTTCACGAATGAACAAAAGGAAATGATCAACAGAATATTGTTATTTCTTGGAAAAGAGGCCTCCCGATACATGATTTCTGTTTTCTCGCATTGTAACGCTAAACAGACTAAGGATCTCGAATATTTTAAAAGATATTGCTGGAATGATCCAGTTAAGGCTTTCGTCAATTCCGTTGGTAATCGGTGGGCCATTTCTCCTAATCCAGACATTTTCCCGCCCGATGATCCAGTGCATGAAGAATGTCTCAAAGAATTGCAAGAACGCATCACCTCTATAGATGGAGTGTATACAAATGACCTTTTCGAGAAGACTCGGAGAGAGCAAGAAGAAAATGAAAGAAAAGCAAGAGAAGCAGAAGAGAAGCGGCAAAGAGAATACGATGAACTTAGAAGAAGAGAAGGAGAAGCTATTGCAAGAGCGAACTACGAGAGGCAGAGGGTAGAAGATGAGAGAAGAGCAAATGAAGCTCGGAATAGAGAACTTCAGGATATCAAAAACACACTACGTGAACAAATATCAAGACTAGACGAAAGAATGACTGAACTTTCCAAAGCCAACGAATATCTTACCAACAGAAATAATCAACTTTCCGACGAAATAAATGAACTCAAAAACAAAAGTTGTTTCTGGCCTGAAACACAAATTAAGCTCGAATCAGGAAGGATCATTCAAATGTCAGAACTTCAAATAGGGGACCGAGTGTTGTCAAACATAAGGAATGGTGTTGCAGAATTCTCAGATGTTTACCTTATCGCTCATATTGGTAAACTCGATCATAAAGCAAAGTTTGCCAAAGTGAACTTTACCAAACCGGATGGATCTAAAGGCAATTTTTTTAGTCAATTTTATTACAAATATTAATTATTCATTTACAGTATATTCATTTTAGTGTAATTTTTTTTTTTAGGTCAATTACTGTTAACGACCACTCACTACGTCTTTGACGAAAATTTATCAATTATATTTGCTAAAAATCTTCGTCCCGGAGAAACAAGAATTTTGGTATCAGATGATGGCAATAGGCTAGTTCCAGTATTTGTGGATAATATAACAAATGTGAGTTTGAATCTACATTATAATTTTCATTAAAGATTGTAAAAATTATTTTTCTTGATAGTTAACTGATATTTATACAGGAATGGCGTGACAAATATATTAGCTTTTACACACGAGCTGGATCAGTAATTGCCAATGGCGTGCTTAGTTCCTGTTACGATCATTGTCCACCGTCTCAAATGCTTATGGATCTAGTTTTTTTACCAGTTCGTTGGTGGACTCGTATAATTCCAAGTACACATCGTGAAGAACGACTTCACCCATATGTTCAGTTCTTAGAAACAGCGTATCTTTCATTTATTAACGCTATGAAAAAGAGTAAACGACTTACTAATAACTAAATTCAGATTTTAGCAGGCGCCAAAATTGCAATACATATAAATTGATAATTATTTCAGTAAATTAGTAGCGTGTATACACCAATTAAATAAAGATCTAATTGTCAATGGTTTTTTTTTTCATTATATTATTATATTAACGTAAAATAATATTTTTATCACTGTTTTCAATTTAATGTAACACCCCATAAAAACAATCAATTTTTAAAAAATTGTGAATAATCATCTAGAAAAGGGTTGATTGCCTATGATTACCGGGGAAATTATGGAAATTCCAAATTATTTGAGTAGTTTACTTATAAAAAACGGCTATTGTTACACAAAGTTAAAAAACTTGCTTATAAGTAAACTACTCGAAAATTGAGATTTTTCTATAATTTCCACTGGTATTCACAGGTTATCTAAATGATTTTTTAGAAAAATCATGGGTATTCACAAATTTTTGATAATCATATTTTTATAGGAGCGCTAGCTGTGATCGCACTAAATTAAAAACAGCAATAAAAGTTATTTTAACATACAAATAGTAAAGAATTTTTTCGAATAATGATATTTTTTAATAAGAATATTAAAATTGTAATCAAAACTAGAAAAACGGAAACAATTATAGTTCCGTCGTAACCGAAGTGGCGCAGTACACGTTCAATGACTTTCCCAGCGTAACCTGAAAAAAATGTCACGAAAAAATCACGTGACTTTTTTGTCACAACTGTCACACCCCACTGCGTTTCCATTTTCTATAAGTATCTGAGGGACTTAGTTTTTTTCGAGTAGGTAAAAACTTATTCGTCACACCTTATTCGTCACAAGTGCGCCACACTTAATTTCAGTCAAGTTGCGTAATGCCGGCCATTTCATGACATTTTTTTCAGGTTACGCTAGGGAAGTCACGTTCAATCATTCGTTACATACTGTAAGTATATTCAGGGGATAGTACGATTTTTTGTGAGATCATGGTAGACCGTCTATTCGTGGTTATACAGTATAAACAACTTAAAATTTAATAATAAACTGTTAAATTAGGCATGATCTTGAAGTAGCATGCATAATATTTTTTACCCCATATAATAACTATAATTTATTAAAACGACTCTGGAGATAGTCTTCCGCTTCAATTAAAACCATTTAATATTAAAAATTGTCACGATTCATTAAACCACCTATTTAACTGTAATATAGTAAATTTCACAAGCTACGTAGTAAATTTTGATGCTAAGTACTTGTTGGGTACTCAGCTACTCGGATTTCCGGAAAACTGAAAAATAAACAATAAGACCAGGGATAACCGTCCATGTTCGTCATCTTTTGTAAGAGAATTATCAGCAAAAATTATTCCATTTAATAATTTTTGTTGATTGGTTAAGTCGTATTATCAAACGACCCTAGCATTACCATGGTAGCCGGATCTGTTGCCAGGTTACACATGATCTGCGAACATGATCTGGACGATTATTTTTGGTAATTATAAAACTTTTATTGATCTTTTACACCACACAGTCACACACCACCTTTCTTTCTTTTACGAAATATTTTTCTAAAAAATTGTTAACATATCATATCAACAACAAAATAAGGTTTGTAAAGGGTGTCTTATACAGTCAAACCTCAATGTACCGATACAGTTGTTTTGGGGGAATTGTATCGGTATATCATATTATCGGTATATTATAAATTTATATATATTATGTGAAATTTATATCGTCGATCAATTTATTATAAAATTAGATATAAAATTCGTATTATTATTATTAAAACGATAGATTTAACCAATATTTATTAGTATTTGTATATTAAGAAACAAAAATATCAGCGTAAATATTACACAATTTGAATAAAATGATCCAATGTAGTTTGTTTTAGGCTATTAATATGTGATTTTAAAACTTTATGTCTTAGTTTTCGTAATAAACTTGTTTCATTTGGATCAATAGAAATATCTAATGAATATTCAAAAAATAAAACAAGATTATCCAAATTATCTAGAGCTTCCGTTTTTGAAATTACCTTTGGAGATTCTTCAATTGGATCCGTTTTTGGTTCATCATCATTTGATTTTATTATGGATACAATTTCTTCATCAGTCAGCCCTCCATCAACTTGTAAACGATCATCGATATGAAGGAATTCTTCCGCATCCATAGGATCATCATATGGAAGTTGGTCGATAAGTTCTTGTAATTCTATTTCATTGTAAGCTTCTTGATCAGCTTGATCTTCATTTTCTTCGCCTTCATCAATTTCATCTTGTGGAAGAATTCCTGTATGCCTCCAACAGTTAACAATTGTTCGTTGACTTACAAAATCCCAAGCTTCTTTACTAAAATTAATGGCATCACAAATATTTATAGGCGTAACTCCTTTGTTTAATTCTTGAGAAATTTCATACGCTTCAATTCTGTTCCTAACGATCAATTTCCGGTACTGTGCCTAAATAATTAAAAATTAATAATCCTTATATTTATAAGTTAATAATTAAATATCAACTTACCTTAAAAGATTTAATAATTCCTGCATCGCAAGGTTGCAAATGTGCTGTAGTATTTGGTGGCAGAAAGTGTACAGTCACATTTGTCAATCTCACATTTTCATCAATAACGTGTACAGGAGCGTTATCAACAAGTAATAGAATTTTGCGATTTTGTAATCGCATTCGTTTATCCAATTTTGTGAGATAATCGTTCCATACAGACACTTGCATCCAGGAAGTTGAGTTCCAATAATATTCTACCAGTAAATCTTCTTTTTTTTTTTTATGTAACGCTTGAGGATTTTGATAAGCGTGGATAAAAAGTGGTTTCATTTTTTCTGTACCAGTTGCATTGCACGTGAAGAGTAGTGTAACTCGTTTTTTGGATTTTTTCTTCCCAGCAAGAGGACCTTGCGCTAACGTTTTTGAAGGTTCAAGATCCCAATACAACCCTAAAAATGAAAAAAAAATTATTATGTGCTCAAAATTATTTAAAATATATTCAGCTTACCCGTTTCATCACAATTAAAAACATCGTTTAAATCATAATTTTTAAGAATTTCATGCAATTTATTCCTCTCTTCGTCTAATGTTTCCAGAGGTGCACTGTTTGCTTCACCCCACTTAACATGCTCTTTTAAATTATACCGTTTTTTAAATTTATCCATCCACCCATTAGAAGCTGAAAACCTAGTAATTTCAAATTGCTGTGCAAAGAATTTAGCTTTTTCGCGCAAGATATCACCATTAATTACAAGATTTGCAGAAAGTGCGTTTGTAATCCACAATGAAAGGGCCTCTTCAACTTGGGGAAAATGAACCTGCTTTTCTCTTTGTTTATTTGACTCTTCTGAGTCTGGATTAATAAAAAGCCACTTATCTTTTTTTTTTAAAATATCGGAAACAGTATTTTGTTTGATATTATATAAGTTGGCAAGTTCTGTTTGGGTAAGTCGTGGTGTTTTTTGAGAATCTAAACAGAGTTGGTGCTTCTGCGCATGTGTTAAAACAACTCTTTTGTTTGGTTGAGAGGACTCTTTGGTGGATTTTCTTTTTCCTTGTTGAGACATGATACATGTTTTGTGTAAAACACGAACTATTCGATGGTTTTTTTATTAAAAACATTTTTTAAGAACGAAACATTTGTCACATGTAGAAATTTGGGCATTTACATTATGTAAAATAGCCGATAATCTCAATGTAACATGTGGTGTAACCTGATTATCGTTACATTTTTATTATACACAATTATACAGGGACAAAGGGTGAATATCAGTACACGTTACATCGCGAATCTATATATGATATCGGTACGGTGAGGTTTTTTTATTAAATATGAAATGGGACAGTGAAAATTTATCGATATAGGAAATTATCGGTATATAGGGTATCGGTACATTGAGGTTTGACTGTACTAGAGAAGGTTGGGGATTTTTTATTGAAAAAGGAATTATTTTGAAAAATGTTGCAAACGCTAAAATAATATTACAAGATCACATTCAATAAAAAAAAACAAAGATTCTGACGTGACAATTATTTATGCAGGATATAACAGAAATCATATATATTTCCTTAACCTTTTATAGATAATACTAATAAATTTTATGAAGGAAAAAATACTGAACTAAGCATGAGTTTGAATAATTTAATTGTGAAATTGAGCGTTAAATAGGTAATAGTTATTTTACGGGGAACTGTGGATATCAATGATTTTCACGGTGCAGCCATGAAAATCATGATATTCCAGTGACTCCGTGAAATAACTGATTTATCCCACGGTTCCGTCCTTTTCTCCTGTGAGTTTATTTGATAGTTTATTTTGACTATTAGTAATAGTTTATTTTATAGTTTATTTTTAACTATTATAAATAGTATTTGTCTAACTATTATTAAACTCTACTGCTTTCTTCTTTATTCCACTTATTCAAACCATAATGGTTAAAAAAAATAAAAAAACTTTACACAAATTCCTCAACCTGCAGTTTCCTTGGATTTAGACAGAGATGACGCACAAGCTAAGGCTTCCTATTATTGTGAGAAAGCAAAAGTAAGAAATACTGAAAAATCAAGATCACAAAATTTGAAGAATTCCGTGTTTGTGCTAACTATTCAGTCCCTTTAAGTGAACTTGATGATGTTTCTCTGCTTCAGCAACAACTTGGTGAATACATCTCTACTATGAAAAGAAATGATGGTTGTGAATATAAAGCAACATCAATTAAGCAAGCTGTTGATGCACTTAATAGATACCTTGTTTGCCATTCACCTATCTTATGAATTAATTTGCATGATAAATATATGTTTCCAGATTTACATAATGTTTTACATGGGAAGATGCATGATCTTCAAGAACATGGCTTTGGCGAAACATCAGGTTCAGTTGCCATCAATCCTCAGCAAATTCTCCAAATTTTACAGCATCCAAGAATGAATACAAGTAGTCCTGAAGGTCTTTTGTATCGTATCTTTTTTCGATTATCAATAATACTTGCTATGCGTGGAGAAGAACATTATGACCTAAAAATTGATCAATTTAAATCAGATGGACATGATGGTTTGCAATTTTTTCGTTATACATCTAAGAATAATCAACGTGGGCAAGGCCCAAATTATTTCAATACCTGCTGACGATAGTGGACCCTGCACAGATATTAAATATTACTTATCTAAACGTCCAGATTTATCTGAGGATAACTTTTATTTGCAACCTAATCCATCTTGGCTAGAAAATGGAATTTGGTATAAAACATCTCACATAGGAAAAAATAGATTGAATAAATTTATGCAAAACATTGGACGTGAAACTCAAATTGATATTCCTATTGAATTACTTTCTAATCATTCTGGACGTAAAACTGCTACTCAAGTCTTACAAGATGAAGAAATTCCTGAACAAGCAATTATGCAACTTACTGGGCATAAAAGTGTTCAAGGAGTGCGAGCTTATAAAAAAATTAATGAAGAGCAACAACTTAATACTTTAAAGACATTAATTAATATTACTGATGATAAATTATCTTCTAAACAAAATAATTCATCCTCACAAGATAATTCAATTAATGATAATGTTGAAATTACAAAATCACGTGTTTCTCTTCAAGAAATTTCTTTGTCTGCAAATTCCTTAGGAAATGAAATACCTATATTTCAAAACTGTACCTTTTCAAATGTTTCTTTTTATATACAAAAATAGTTTCGATTTTATAATTCTTTATGTATAAATGCAAATAATATAATATCATTTTTATTTTCAATAGTATAATAATAAGTTTAACAATAAAAAGTATAATTTATTATGTGATATAAACATGTTGATCAGTTACCATGAAAATATCAGTAAAAAAAGTTACAGAAATTGATTAGGAACCGTGGGATAATATTTCTTATATCAGAAGGTGATGGTTACATATGGGTTAGAAAAAGGACACTCTTCTTTTGACATAGCAATATTTCGTATTTGTAATGCATAAGAACAAACTATTTAGCGTTAATTATATTTACAAATAAAATACATGATCTATTATAGCGAAAGTAAGTAAAATGTAGTATCTTAATAGTTTATTATAATAAATAATAAAATTAAAAGTACATAAAATAACTTTATCACATTTTTTTCCAATAAAAAAATACATCACGATAAAATAAAATTACCAAAAATAATTTAACACAAAAATTTTTTTTAGTTAACAGACAAAAATTTTTCAGGTTTAATTATACTATTTGTTTTATATATTTTTTATTCTAGGGTAGCGTAAATTTAGTTAATATAAATTTGTATAACTATACTTTCATAGGTAAAATAGCTTTTTTTTAACCAATATTTTTTTATTTTTATTTTAAACATACAGACAGCAACGGGGCTGCTACAGAACGCTTTTTTAATCAATAAATAATTACCGAAAATAATCGTCCGAATCATGTGCGCAGATCATGTGTATCCTGGCAACAATTTTACATGGTAATGCTAGGGTCGTTTTTTATCTATGCAAAGTATCACATGACATTCTACACCAGTTACGTGACTAATAATTCCTTCTAATTCGGTTTGTTATACCTTTTCCATAGAAGGAATGTTCAAGAAGATCACAGAATATTCTTTTTGGAAACGAAAGAAGTGAAAGTATTTAGAATTTCCATCACAAGTAAGAAATAGTAGTGTAGATCATATAAGCCGATGATATTTTTAGAATAGTATGTTGGGATCGGACGTTGTTACTGTACAGTATTATTAACTAATGTAAATTGGCATAGATTCCAATAGATTCCTGCAAATTCCATTGGAATTTCATTCAGTAGACTGCTTTTGGAACTTTTTTGTACACAGTCAAACCTTAAAAAAAAAGCGTGTATCTTTTTTATTGAGTCAGTCATAAGAGGTCTTGTATTAGCGTTTAATAATAAATGATTGTCAGGACATATGTATATATGTGTCTGATTGATATGACCTTTTATAGCTTTCGGTTAAATTGATGCACAATTGATTAGGCAAATTGGTAAGCCAATAAGCCAAAATGGATTGCTGTAAAATTCCCACATACTGGATGATAAATTTTTTTTTAACCACTAATATTTGTTTTACAGTATTTTCATTGTTCATAATGTTACCTGTTCTTTAAATGTCTTAGTAATCTCAATTTGTCGCAACTTCTGTCGCACTAAAATCGGTATAAACTCATTTTATAAACATAAAAAAAAAAGATAGTTTGATAACATCTGATCTTTTTTTTTTAACATTGTTACAAAATTGAATGGCACAGATTAATAATAAATTTCCTGCAGAATCAAATAAAGACGTTACAATAAAAATAATTTTTTTTTATCATTATGCATGATGAAATATCTAATTTACTTTTTTTTATCCAATTAAATAAGCTAACTTTATCATTAAAACAATTCTTGGCGTGCATACTTATTATGCTTAATATAAATGGTAAATTTTAATAAAATAAATTTTTATAAAAATGTCGGTTTTTTATAAAAGGAGCGGTAAAAAAAAAATATTTTTTTCATAAATTTTTATAAATAAAATTTCATTCACGCAATAATGGAAGTTGAAACTCAAAATAATACATCCCCATCAGAAATGAAAATTGATATTCCTGATAATATAAAAGAACATGAGGAAGAAATTGAAAAAACTCCACCAGAAACGAAGGATGATCCTTTTAAAGAACATAGGAAATCAATTGATCGAATTTTTGTTTCTCAATACATGGATACTAGTACTTACAATGAAGAATATGGTTCAGATGATTATGTTGTTACTTATAGTATTCAAGATAAATCAGTTCTTGGATGGTCAATTAAAGAGAATGGATCACAACCCGATGTTTATTTTAAGATGGATAAAATCAATAAAATCGACGAATATATGTTAAACTATTCTGTACTAAGTAAAAAAATCTTGTTATTACGTAATGATATAAATTATTGTAAGTATTTATTTTGACTCAAAATAATAGTAATCTAATTTTATGTTTTAATTAATAGTTTATATTCTTAATTGTAGGGTTGATTGATTTAAATAGTGATCGTACTAGTAGTGATCGATTTCTTAAACTAAAGCATCAAGTTTCTCAAAATATTGCTTATTATTTTTTTAATATTATTGGATTCCTTCCTAATGGTGATTTAATTCAAGTATTAGTAAAAGATCGCAAAATTTACAAGTACTGTTTCACAGATAAACCAAAAAATACAGTTCCTTGGGAATATTCTCAAATTAATGATATAAAAAGTCCCCAATGTTTAAATGATAAAAGTATATTGAGATGTTTTATATATCAAACAAAATTATTTCTATCAGTTTGCGATAATAAAACGTTTCAATTTGATTTATTGACAATGAATTTAGAAAGAAAATACCATAATTGTCTGGGTCAGAGGTGTCATATAACAGTGAATAAAAATCAAGCGCTATTGGCGGCATGTTCATTTGGTAAAACTTACGTATATTCAATGGAAAATGGAATGTTGATTTATGAGAGTGAGTATTACTTTTACAATACATACAGTACATTTTTATATGATAGATTTTCTAATTATAATTTATTCGCAGATGAGGATAGTGGGTATGGTTGTGGTGTGCAGTTCATAACTTTGAAAAATACTGAAAGATTATTCATTTATCATGAATATAGTGGTGGTAAACTTGTAGATCCCTATCAAGTTTATGATGAAATTGTCATTTCCGATGGTTTTAATGGAGAAAAAAGTGTGATAACTGAATTAAATAGAAAAATTTTCATTGATAATGGTAATGTTTGCATCACAAATGGTTTAAATGGAATCGATGAAAATAAATTGGAACAATTATCAAACAAGATCACATATAGAAATAGCAATTATACTTTTTCTACCTTTAAAATTATACAAAGCATGCTTAAAGAAATCATTAACCAAGATGAAAATAAAAATGTTGTATCATATAACAACGTGATTGTGTTAAAAGATGATTTTGAAATTGAAAATATTGGTCTTGGTAAACTTGTTCTTTATAATGAATCCGGTATTAATTATCTGGGAATTGAAAAAGATAATGGACATCGAGAACAATTATGTAATGTACTCTCAGCTAAATTATTAAATAACCAGGATTTGGTAGTAATTAATATTAGAGGAATCAGTATTGGTACAATAAACGATGGTACAATAAGCAATGAAGAACGATATTTATGGTATAATAATGAATGGAAAGATCTTTATGACAAATTCAGAGAAGATCGTGATATTAATAAACACTTTAAGCCACTTATTGAAAAAATTTTAAAAAATGAATTTGATGATTCAAAACACTCAATACCATTACCAATATTTATAGGGATAAGTTATATTTATAATGTTATAATTGAGAATGTTATAAATGATAATTTAGTATCGCCAAAATTTGGAATTGAAATGTTAAAAATAGCAATTAAAGAAAAACATGAACATGCTATCCGATACATTATTGAATCAACTCAAGATTATTCCGAAAATTATATGACTATTATTAGTTTAAACTTAGTAGAATTGTGTGATTATTATCCTGATTTCATAATTAAATATATCTCATCTACTTCTATTATGTTGTATCCTCATTATTGGGTCACTGAGAATTCAAAAAATACTTCACTTCATTCATACACAGATATTTGCATTAAAGGATCGAATATGGAAAATAGCTATTTTAAGCCTATTTTAGCAATATACAAAGGATTAATTCGGTATTTAAGGGTAGAGGAAGAAATCCAAATAGTCAGTTTCATTGTTCCTTTTCTTCAAATCTATGTATACCGAGATGACTCCAAAAATAATGACCATGAAAACCGTGAAACTGAAAAAGATCATGATATTAAATCAAAAATAATCACAATACTAAAAAAATTGATCACTGGACTAAAAATAATCATGATGATACCAAATAGTAATAGTATTTGGAATAAATTTTTATATAAACAAAAATCTATTCTATTTTGTAATATAGATAGTAATAATTTTTATAATTGGTGGAATTTTGCTGCAATTGTAGATTTTAAATGGAAAACTTTTGGAAAACGTTACTATTATCTGATCTGGTTATTTTATACAATTTTTTATATTTGTTATTCATTAGCTTCTACATTAGAACAAAAGTCTATCCCTGATCTTTATTTTAAATTACTTTTTACAATTTCTATTATATTTGGCTCTATATTTTTAATTAATGAAATTCGATATTTTCTATGGGATCGTAAAATTTATTTAAATGATATATGGAATTTATTTGGTAAGTAACATTTATTAATTGCTTTACATTTAAACAAAAATTAACTTGATTTAATCATCAAAATAGATACAGGAGCATATCTTTTACCCATTATAACATCAATTATTTGGCTTATTAATAAAAGCCCACCACCTTGGCTTACAGCAATATCTATTATATTATTGAGTTTCAAATTTTTATTATTTTTTAGAGTATTTAAATCGTATGGAATTTATTTTGCCATAGTAATTGGTGTTGCGGGAAAAGTTTTTCCATTTTTAGTTCTCTTATTTTTTATAGTACTTGGATATGCTCAAGCATTTTTTATTATTCTAAAATCAAATAGTATTAATGACGATGATCCAAGGAATCTTCCTACAAATTTGTTTAATTGGTTTCCCACTTCACTTTTAGCGGTATATAATCTTCTCACTGGTAATAATTTACTTTTTATTTATAAAGAGACAGGAACCAAATATTTTAATAACTTTTTAATATAATTATAGGTGACTCCGGATCTTTATCACCATTTACTTATCGTGAAAACCCTATTATGACCATTTTATTGGTTACCTTTACATTTTTCACAGTAATATACCTTATGAATTTATTTATTGGATTACTCAATATAGCAATTGATGATTATAATAAAGAAGAAGAATATTTACTTCAAAAAGCACAGGTAAACTTTTTTAAATATTAAATGATTATAATATCAATTTTATTTTACTAACTAATACTTTATTTTTAAAGATTATTATGGAGATTGAATTATTTTATATGTTACCATGGCAACGTAAAAAGAAGGAATGGTTTCCAGATCAGATGTAAGTATTAATTATATTGCCAATATTAATTTTTTAGTTTTTGTACATTTTATTAACATATTTTAACTATTTTAAGTTATTATGATATACCTCTTACTGAGGTTCGTAAATTAATAAATGCAATTGATAATAAACTGACTGTGTTTAATTATCCTCCAATTATTGATAAGGAATTGAGAAAGTTGGTAGTACTTAATAATGATAATAAAAAGCAAGATAATGAGGAAGAACAAAACAATAAACTAGAAAAGAAAATGGATCAACTTACAAAACAAAATGTTAAGCTTAAACAACAAATGAGATGTATTATGAAATATATTGATAGTGAGAAAGAACAAGATAGTGACGAAGATAGTGAGAAAGAACAAAATAATAAACTAGAGGAACAAATAGAACAAACAAAGGAAGAACTTCCAAAACAAAATATCGGACTTAATCAACAAATGGATAAACTTAATCAACAAATGGAAAGTATTATAAAATATATTGGGATAGAACAAGATAATAAGGAAGAAAAAAATGATAAACTAGAGAAGCAATTAGAACAAACGAAAGAAGAACTTCCAAAACAAAACGGTGGACTTAAACAACAAATGGATAAACTTAATCAACAAATGGAAAATATTATGGAATTATTATTAAAAAGAAACTAGAACTTACAGTTTGTGAGAACTTTGTCCCCACGCAATTTTTTTTTATACAATATCAAAAGTGGTTTTATTCGGTTTATAAATCATATAACGATTTAAAGGAACATTTTTTTGTAAAATTGATAGTGTAAAAAAAATATTTTTGACAGAAACAGAATGTAAAACATTTTATAACTAAATTAAATTATGGTGGAACAACTAAAACTATGGTTTATTTCAAACTAGAGTGAATTTTTCAAAAGTTCGTCCCATCATTACCACATTAATCTCAACGGCGATTTTACATCTAATCGAACACACTTTTTTTCTTTTTCTTCTTCACTGTTATAATATATCATTTTACGTCTTTGTACTCATTATTTAAACTCGTATTATACTTAAAATGTTGTTGCTTATTTTTGAATAAATAGTACGCTAAACAGATTCATGATTTTTTTCTTTCACCAATCCAGAAACAAAAAATGCATTTAGGGTCTTATTCTGGCTCCTTCAGAAGCGTGTGTTTTCTCTATGAGAATCCCCAAAAAAAGTTTCGATAGAAACGAATAGTGATTGTGTAGAATTTCGTAAATCTGAAGTGATTGATTTTCATTTTCATCGGAAACTTTTGTCGCTAAATTTTTCTAGTGAAAAATAAAAATTTTATGATTCTAATTGTTGATTACGTAATCGATAAGATAATTGTCTCAGTTTAAATCACATTATTGATAAAATGCTTCCAAGACCCAGGGAATAATTCTAGAAGAGTCTGAAGCATCGGTTTAATATTGGTTTCATTGATTCTTTGTAGACGGTTGGCTTGTTCGATAATATCTCCCTTCACATGGACAAAATTTGCGCATTGTTCTACTTAGACTATACCAAAAATGATCAATGAAAGTTAATACAAACAATAATTGTATAGTTCATTGCAGTTGCGAAGATAAAAAGTGATTATATCAATTACCTAATATAATACATGATCTTATTACGTAAAACTATCTGTAAAACTATTTCTATATGTTCTATGTAAATTATATATCTTGCGTTGAAATAAGAAAAAGTCCTCGGTTTATACATCTGATAACGGATTCTTTGCAATAAAAAAAGAATCCTCCGATTATATACTTCTATTTTTTCTAATGGAAATAATCTCTCTTGATAGGACGTAGCTGTATTCTTACAAGCAAGGTATGCAATGAGTCCTTTTTATAATAATAAATTGATAGATAGGTTATAGGTACATACAGTACTTACATGATTTGGAACGGTCCTAGCCGAATCGTATGGGCGGGATTCGACGCATCACGTGATTTACAAAGATAAACTATTATTTAATTTATGTTACACAAATTTTGTAACGAACCGAAAAAAAAACTTGTATTTTGATGATATTATGTTAAAATTTTCATTACAGCTTTGTTAAAATATTAAAACTAGACAAAAATCCGGTGAATCATGTCTATTAAATAAGAAACCAAAATTAGATAAAATAGTTATATATTTATAAAATCAAAATAAAAAAGTAAAACATTTACAAAAAATATTTTAAAAATATTATAAAATTAAACTCTTAAATAACTTTAAAAGATTTCAAGTTTCTTTTAAAGCTTGATTTACTTAAAAAAACGCACTTACTTTACTGGTCAAAAAACCCATTCCCAACCAATTTCCAACTTGTAGACGAAACAGAGAAAAAATTTTTTTTCATGTTCCGATTTTGCCGATCACTTTATTATTTTTATTTTATTACACAAAATTACATATATATCCATGATTATATCATATGATCGTTATTATTAAAGTGCGCAAAATCTATTCATACGTTATAATATTTAGTTAATGTGACCAATTAGCCCATATGATAAATCAAGTGATTTCTTGTGCGTTGAAAATTTCATTGATGTCTGTAGTCGAATTATCATATGTCCACGTTGTAGATAATATTATAGAAGAAACCTACGGAGTAAATTGTTTCTTGTGTTTCTCTTAATGTGGTAGGATCTTATGTTATAGTAATAGACTATGTGTAAAAATAATTCATCCGAAAATTAATCAATTAATTTCAATGCGGCAAGTTCCTATTTTTTCTCATATGTAAATAACAAGTTCTTTTGCTGGTAATGCATTATAAAAAATATGAATTGTTTACACAATCTAGTATTTTGATATAGTTATTCGTGGTGAATTTCGATGATTATACTAACATCGATTCTATAAAACTTTCCCACATGATACGTTCTAGCATGGAATCACTTCTAATTAATTCTCCTTTGGTGTTTCTATCATGTGTCCTATAGATATTAATAAACTGTTTCTCAATATTATTAAATTCTGAAAAATGTTTGCGTAACTTGTCCTTCCATTTGACTAAAATACCATGATCTTCCACTGAAATTGCTTTTCATGCTTGTCATATACAGATTTTTATAAATGGCTTTACAATATACTTCCTTGGGTCTGGTTCATTTCACTGACAATCATTTCACCGACATAAAAATAGATATTGAATATGAGATATTTTATTATAAAAACTTTTTTAGATATTTAGTTTGGATCTAATAAGTATTGATACTTATTTTCACCTTAGACGGGTTAGTAGATAGAATAACTCAATAACATATAAATTTCATTAAAATAATAAAAGAAATGCGCGTTACTAACAAATATATATATATATACAGTATAAACTTTTTAGTTTTTGATCACAACAAAACATTAATACATTTATTAAAAAAAATAAAAGTATGCGCTATTCCCCTAAGGTAATCTATAGTAGTAGTTTTTTTGTATTTTATTAAATCTAACAAAGAAATACGTGTTACTAACAATAAAAATTCCCTATTTCATGTAAGATATATGTAAAAATATTTATAAAATTTTTATATTTAATTTTATATATACTGTATGTTGGTGAAATGATTGTCGGTAAAGTAATTGTCGGTGAGTTAAACGCGACCCTTCTCTTGGCTCTTCACGGAAATTTCAATCGAGTATGTATCAAGTTTAGAATAAATAACTTATTACAAATATTTTTGTTACAACGTAGACAAAAAGAAAGCACTAACCTTGATTTTAACAACTACATGGAGATTTGATTTAGGAGGATCTCATTCTCTGGTAAATGGAATAAAATAACTATTTTTTGTTGGCACAAATCACAGAGTAACCCTAATTACATATGCACCGGAACTTATTAAATGAAACGCAAAAAAAGCATAAATGTGAACCTCCGTGTAATGGACACCGACATGATATAGTGAGAGTTTAAGATATTGAAGACGATTAAAATTTTATTCAATTCTTTGTTAATTAAGAATAACAAGTATCGTTACATCAGTTATTGATTGATATAATACAATGCGCCATATATTCGATAACTTATTGATGACAGTTCACTATCTTGTTTGAATAAGACTCAATATTTTGTCTAGCTTTTGATCCAAATCGTTTTTCATCTCATTGATTTGTGATTTAAGCCCATTAATCTCTTCTATAACTTGTCCCATTTCTGAACTTAATAGATGATATGTTTCTAATTCTACACAATTTTGTATGCCATACTGCTTGGGTTGCCCAATTTTTCCATACATAGCATCTTAAAACGTGGCTTTTTAACTTGCGAAATATATGATTTTTTTCTATTTTAATTAGAGCTATAGCAAAGAATGATAGTTAATTGATGATGCCCGCGAAAAAAAATTGTATTGTATGTCCGTATAAGGAAGGATAAATTATGGCAAAGTGAAAAAAAAATTGTTGAATCCTCGTTGTTACGTTAATCTGTAAGGTGCCGCTGGCAAAAACACACTTGCCTATTAACTTTTGCATATTGTCATCACTGCATTAGATATTATATAATGTACTATTATCAGAAATACAATTTTGTAATATATGACTTTTCAAAAATTATATGAAAATAAGCAAATGAAAAATATGACATTAGCAAAAATTGTCATTAATTTTACGTAAATCCAATCTCTAACTGTGGCTAAAACAGCATGTGACTAAGCAAATGAATGAAATGATATCGTTACCTATACATATATTGCTCGGGTCCTATGTTTACGGTTTTGCTTTGATTTTCCCCTGCAGATAAAATTTGTTACTTGGTGACATATAGAAATTATCATTAAAAAAATTCGTCTCTTTATGGTTAGCACATTTAAAAATCATATGTTTTATATTTTAATGGATACAATTAGTGACCATCTGAGGTCAATAACAAAATTTAGAACAATATTTGTATTATTGTATTTGGTAATACTTCTTGAACAAAATCGCTAAAATGCATCATCCTTCGAACATTCTGTGTAAGCAACAATTTCTTATTTAATAATTACTTCCATTTTTTCGTCGTTTGGTGAATCAACGATATTTTTCAACTTAAACCAAACATGGTAGATAATATGTAAGAAACTAAAAAAAACCTAAAAAAAAAGAGATTTCATTTTTTTTTATTTTTAAGTTACTTATAATATTTACTTATCTTTAAATCCTCCATTGGTTGCTAACGCACCTGTAATACTCTTAGTTGGAAAAACAGGTTTGCACTCATGTAATGTCTTTCTTCCCAATCATATCGGGTTTTTTTTAATTGGAAACATACTGTACATTTATTGTAAGGTGCTGGTGAAAGCACATTGGGAAATTTATTGTTGAAAACCTCCGAAAACCCAACTTTCCCTGTTTCTGATAACTTTGTAAGTAAAAAATAAATGACCACGATCTAAGTACTTACAATATTAGTTACAGTATCTAACTCTCGAAAGTGAATAGTCATCACTTACTAAAAAATCTCGGTCTGCGAATTACAAAATTGGTGACTAAATTTATAATATTATCGATACGCCAGGAATTTTGATACTGACGGCCTCACCGAAAATACCTTAGAAGAAATCGCTCAAACCATCCAAAAATGTACTCATGGGATTAAGGCCATATTATTTGTGCTTGGTAAGTGAAAATACAATTAGTGATTACGATCCATGTTAGAAAAATATATTGAATAAAGATGTTTATAGAAGCTAAACGGTTCACGAATGAACAAAAGGAAACGATAGACAAAATAAAATGTTTCTCGGGAATGAGTCTCTTCAATATATGATTTCTATCTTTTCGCATTGTAACAAAAAGCAGACTGAAAATCCAGACCATCTTAAAAATTCTTCTTGGAATAAAACAATTAAGGCTTTCGTCAATTCTGTGGGTAGTCGGTGGGCTATTTCTCCGAACCCTGATATGTTCCCGTCCGATAGTCTTGTGCATCAACAACGCCTCAAGGAAATACATGAACATATCATTTCTATGGATGGAATTTATACAACAGCAATTCTCGAGAATGTCCGGAGAGAGCAAGAAAAAAATGCAAGAATTGCGAGAGAAGCAGAAGAGAACCTACGAAAAGAATATGAAGAACTTAAAAGGAGAGAAGGTGAAGCTATTGCAAAAGCGAAATTTGAAGAGCTGAAGGCCGAAGATGAGAAAAAGGCAAAAGAAAAATGTGAAGAGGAAATAAAAAACCTAAAAAAGCAAGTAAATGAACTTTCTAGTGGTGGTTGTTTCGGACTTGAAACACAAGTCAAGCTTGAATCGGGAAGAATTATTCAAATGTCAGAGCTTCAAACAGGGGATCGAGTGTTATCAAACATAAGAAATGGTATTGCCGAATACTCAGATGTTTATCTTATTGCTCATATTGGTAAACTCGAACATGAAGAGGAGTTTGCTAAAGTCAGCTTTACCAGACCGGATGGATCTAAAGGCATTTTTTTTTTGTTTTGAGATAATTTACTATAACAAATAAATTATTCATTTTTATCATCTATTTATATATTTTCTTTAGGTCAATTACGGCTTACAACTACTCACTATGTCTTTGACGAACATTTATCAATTATGTTTGCCAAAGATCTGCGTTCTGGGGAAACGAAGATTTTGATATCAGATGATAACAATAAGCTGGTTTCGATCTTCGTGGATGATGTAACAATCGTGAGTTTAATCTATATTTAAAGGTTTTATTAATATTGTAAAATTACTTAAATTACCTTGATATTTTAAACAGGAATTACATGATAAATACATTAGTTTCTACACACGAGCCGGGTCAGTTATCGCCAATGGTGTACTTTGTTCCTGTTATGACCAATGCCCACCATCTCAAATGTTCATGAATCTGGTTTTTTTACCAGTTCGTTGGTGGACTTATGTTATACCAAGTACACATCGTGAAGAACGACTTTATCCATATGTTCAATTCTTAGAGACGGTTTATCTTTCGTTTAGAAATGCTTTGAAAGAGGCAAACAATTTATTGAGAACTAGATCAAGATTGAGCAGGTCAGTATTTTGCAAATAAATTTAGCACATGAAGATCTGATGATTATTTAGCATATCAAAATTGCTCAATAATGATATTTTGATTAAAAGAATATATCTATTAATAGTGAAATAAAAGTCGTATTGATTTAGTTTATTATTAATAATAAGAAATTACGTAACTTCAGCGGGAAAATTTTATCCCGTCGTAAATAAAAGATAAATATAGTACTACCTCTATTGTCAATTATTTTTGTCCTGCTAACCCACACCATATTTATATATTATTGTATAGGGGAGGAGCAATATCACTTATTTTAGTATAGGTCAATGTATGATTGGTTTTAATTTTGCCACGTCAGTGGCAAAATTAGTAACCAATCATACATTGACCTATAAAATAAGTGATGTTGCCCCCCTGTACAATAATATTATTATCGTTTGGAACTGACCATAACATTTAAAAGCTTAAAAAAGTTTATTTAAAAGTTTAATTTTTTACTGTTTATATTGAAAAAATGATTTACAAATTGTGCTTTTTTCTCTTGCTGACTCTTTAGTATTTTTATAATAATGCCACCACAAAAATCTCAAAATAAAAGTAAAAAAGTAATATTTATTTGTATTCATTCAGTTAATATTTTATTTTATTTTTTTTTTTGCATTTTATTAAAGATTTTTTTTTAGAATAAAAAAACTTTCACATATGTGGCCCCTACTGAAGAAGAAATAAAAAGTATGCAAACAGCAGCTCGTGGCAAAGCTACACATAATTCTACAAGTACTTGGATTAATGCACTTGAAACTTTTCGTAAGGATATTGGATTACCTGGAAAAATAGATGATGTGAATTCTAAAGAAGAGTTAGAGCATCAACTTGTTTTATTTTTTGTTTCATGTAAGCAGCAAAATGGAGCTGAATATTCAGTACAATCAATAAAATCAGCAAGATTTGCTATTGCACGACATATCAACACATATTCTAAAATTCGTCCACAAGAAATTACAAATAAAAATATATATTCTGAATTATATAACGCAATTACTGGCAAGATCAAACTTTTAACTGATCAGGGATTAGGTGAAATACATGGTGCAGATGCTTTTACTCAAGATGAGATTAGGAAAATTATTAATCATCCCACAATGCAACCAGATTCACCAAAAGGACTTATACGACGCATATTTTGGCATAATGCTTTTGAATTAGCTCTTCGAGGTGGAGAGCATTATAATCTAAAAATACAACAATTTAAAAAAAGAAAGGATGGTGGTATTGATGTTACATTTTATAGATCTAAGTGTAATCAGAGATCTTTAAGTGAATCTAATTCTAAAGCTGAAGTAATTTCAATACCTGCTGATAATGCTGTTATTCAAGATTATGAGCTTTATTTTAGTAAAAGACCACCAATTTGTGAAGATGCATTTTACTTGCAACCTTGCAACAATAATGAAGGTAATTATTTATTATATAGTAATTTATTATTTTTTTTTACCTTTTTTTTAATTTCAAATAGTTGAGTTTACGGGTTATTGGTTCAAATCTGCTCAAATGGGAGAAAAATTGGTAAAAGGACTTATGAAAGAAATTGCAACAATAACTGAAATCGATTGTGATAAAAGAAAGTTCACAAATCATAGTGGACGAAAAACCTTTATTCAAATTTCAAAAAGTGAAGGAATTAGTGATAATGATGTGATGTCTGTGTCACGGCATAAAAATCCTCACTCTTTGGCTTATTATGAACGTCCAAAGTCTATATTGCAACAAAATACATTATCGCAAATTAATTCTTTAATTTATAATGGTAAGAAAAGAATTGCACCTGTGGTTTTAATGTAAAAGTAATATACAATATATTTATTAATTTTCTTTTCATTAGATACATTATTGTCAAATGACAAAACTGCAAATTCTTTTTCTTCAGCCTTAGAAACTTTTAATGGTAAGATTTAACTTATGAACTAATAATTCTTATGGTATAAAAAATTTAATTTTTTTTTAGAATCACGGTCACCACTTCAGCAGCTCAACTCAAACGATTTAAACGAATTAAATGATGATCAACAAAATCAAGAAATTAACGGAAATGATGAGACCATTAAAAAAATTCTCCATGGGAATGTTTTTCAGAATTGTAATATTACATTCAATGTGAATAAATGATTTTTATACGAATTTTATTATATGTACACTTATAAATAGCTTATTTTAATAATATAAAGTATAAATAGCTTATATAAAGTATAAATGGTTTATTATGATATTATAAAGTATAAATAAAATATCTAAAAATATAGTATGTTATGATCATATGTACCCGAACGATAATTATTAATAAATGAATAATACTTATTCGGCAATTTATTTCAATTTAATTCACTTATTCGTAATAATTAAATAAAACTCATGTTATGCAATTTATTGATTATTTTCTATATTAATATAATTTTTAATCAAACCCCATTTTTATATATTCATTTAAAAAAAAAAGTGGAGACAATTGTGACATGTAACCAAATCAGGTTATAAAACAAGTTTTAATTCATAGGATAATCCGGTGAAAATCTTTAGCTTGTTTTTATTTTGCTTTAACTAAATCAATTATGTCAATCATGGAAACATTATTATTCCATATATGGTTTATCACTTTTTCCTTCAATGCTTTGAAACTTATCTATAAATGTATAAATCTAAAAGCTATAAGCCGGTTAATTAACAGGATTTAGTTGTATTGAATATTTTATTTGAATATTAAAAAAAGAACAAAATTCCGATTCTCCGCGATCAAAAAACATAACTTTTGTTTATTTTTGATCGCCATTTGTTTTTTACTTATTATTTTTTATAACAAGTTAGTTCTTGTTCTATAACAAGTTACTTTTGTTGTCCTTAGAACAACCTTCTGACTTTCACGGTACGTCGCTACGCTATTTATTTTAACAATGGTCTTGTTTCCTATTTATATTGCCGCCTTTGAACCAAAATAATTTTTTAGCTTTCCTATTTTCATTTATTAAAGTAAATATTAATGAATTTTCTTATCAATAAAATTAAAAATGGCAAACGATCACTTAATGATACAAGAAAAAAGCTAACCAAATCATTACGTACTAGAAATGAAGTATGTGAAAAATGTAAACGAATTGATTGTAATGCAAAAGTTTCAACAAAATTTTAAAAATTGGACAAGTGGTAACGATATTATTGATAAATTTATTCAAGATACTCAACTATCAGCTCATTCTAACTATGAAGCACCAAGAGCATTAGAATGGATACCTTATGATAAATTTGCTAATATTAAATATGTTGCAAAAGGCGGATTTGGTAAAGTGTATAAAGCAAATTGGATTGATGGATGTATGGATAATAAATGGAATATTAAAAATCAAAATTGGAGAAGAATACGTCAAAATATGTTTGTGGCGCTGAAAAGTTTAAATAATTCGAAAGACGTTACATCAGAATTTATGAATGAGGTATAATTACTAGTAATTTAATAAAAATTTTTGAAATTTTTTTTTTTTTATTAATCCTTACTAATGTCACGGGATATTTTTTTCTTATTTTTATTTTTTATTTTTATTGTTTTTATTTTTATTTTATTCTATTTTTATCTTTTTATTATTTTAGTTATATTACTTGTAGTCGTTTTTAGTTGTTTAAACATTAGATAAAAAGCGGAAGCTTAGCGATATAAAATGGCTGAATATAAGTGGCTGTATAGACAGATGACAATTGGCCGGGAAACGATATTGGCCGGGAGACGATTATGTCCGAAGGACAGAATCGTCCTAAAAATTTAATGTTATATAAAGGACCGGTGTTGAAAGATAGAATAGTTCAGTTTAGATTCGTCTAGTTTTATTGTTATAAGATAGATATCGGGATATTACAGAGCGCCGGTTGAGGCAGTAATATCGTATTCTTTTTATTAATGAATAAACTTGTCGATTTGCTTCCGAATTATTGATACATATTTTATTACATTGTTTATTATCATCTTATTATCATTTATTAACAATTATTAATTTTTGTTATACATCGTTGATTTACTATATACACTTATAATTAATTGATATTATAAACATACTATCCGATTTACCCCTAATCCATTATATCATTTATTATCGCTTATAATCGTTCAGTATCGACTGTTGATATATACACGTTTACCTTACCAATTGTTATATATCGCCATATTACCTTACCACTCACATACCGATCCTTATTCTTCTTTCTGTTACTACCTACCAAACGTCATAAATCGGTGGCAACACTAATATAATATACATCTATATAGATTATGTCACATCATAAAATAAGAGATCCTTTTTCCATTATTAAATTTTATGGTATAACTCAAGATCCAAAAACCAAAGATTACATGATGGTTTTGGATTATGCAAAAGATGGAAATTTACGAGATGTCCTACCAGATACAAGCGCAAGCGGATGGGAATATAAACTTTATTACTTTTACTGTATTTCATTGGGACTTGAACACATTCATGATATGGGTTTAATTCATAGAGATTTACATACTGGCAATATACTAGTAGGTCATCTTGTTTATATAACTGATTTGGGATTATGCAAACCCGCAAATTATAAAAAGTCAAAAAAAAATGCAAAGACATACGGTATTATACCTTATATGGCTCCTGAAATTTTAAGAAGACAAGATTATACGAAAGCTGCTGACATATATAGTTTTGGTATAATTATGTATGAAATAATTTCAGGATTACGCCCATATCACAATGTATGCCATGACGAAAATTTAACAATACAAATTTGTAATGGACTTAGACCAAGATTTAATATTAAAGTACCTCAATTAATTGTGGATTTAATTAAAAGATGCTTAGATGCAGATCCATCAAATCGACCAATGATGGAAGAAATTAGAAAAATTACTTGTCATTGGTTGTATGAATATATACATACTTTTGATAAACCAACAGAATTTCAAAAGCAGATGAAAGAAGTAGAAGAAACCAATAAATTATCAGCCGGTAGCATACCTTCAACTAGTGAAATACATCCGGGAGCTATTTATACCAGTAGATTACTTAATTTTAATAATCTTCCTGAACCAAAAAATTCCGATGATTATTATAATAACTATGATAATATATCAAACATGGAATATTCAGGTAGTGCTTCGACCCGGATGAAAACCGTCATCCGGATTACACAAAAAAAAAATCCGGATTATATCCGGATTGACCCGGATTTTGAATCCGGATCAGATAATCCGGATAGAAACCGGAAACCGGATTGGATTTACAAATGATCGGCAATAATTCTGGCCAGAATTCATAACGCCGGCCAGAATTACAAATTGTGTAACATTAAATTTTCATGCCA